AAAAGCTATTACCTCTGCATTTTGGGTTGCTGCCTTATTATTTGGTTCCGAGGGCGAAGTCGTAAGGGGGGCTAGGTGGGGGTGCCCTGGGATGTTTTCGGTGAATGAGCAGCAGTGCCACGTTGATGCTACCTTCCATATGGAAAGAAGTCATAAAGAGTCGATCTTCAAAACAAAAGACTTTCTCCTACTCTGCGATATGCCGACGCCGGTAGCATATGTGTATGTGGCCAATTTTTAAAGCCGATGTCCTATGGGCTCTGTGATTTCGCACTAACCCTTCTTTCTCAGCTGCCTCAGGAAGAAATAGCCTTTTATCGCGGAAAGTATCAACCACCCTCATAGCTCTGTCAGCACTGACGTTCCCCCAGACCTTTACCAACCTTCCATATCTTTACATTCTAACCTTTTCCTACATCATACTTAATTTCTTCCGGCTCATGATAACGATTCAATGTCACGGAATGCCATCCCTAATTTGAAACCTCGTTCCAAACTTCATATTGAAGCTTTCATTGTCCCACCCTCCATGAAATCAGCCAACAAGCTTCGCTAGCCCAATCTCTCGACATGGATGTGTACTGTGTTAGTGAAATCCACATAGATGTCCCAAGTGCGTTTATTTTGTCACCCGACCAATATGGCGAACCTGCAAAATCTACCCCACGAGTTTCTGCAGATTTTATGACCAGTTCTCACGGTGCTGTAGGTGTAAGCATATCGATAAGTGCTAAGACATGAGGTACACTGTTCGTTTGGATCCCAGTTGATAATTGTCTGCACTCTGTTCGACTGATGCCATTCGGGAATAGTAAATCTCCCCGTTTTCTCTTTGTAGTCTCTATCTACGCACCCATTGACTATAGTTCAGATGAAATGAAGGATGAGCTCTACCGAAAATTGTCTATCCTCCTGCCGAAGGCCAAATGTTCGACTGTGATTGTCGTAGCAGGTAATTTCCATGCACAAGTGGATAGGCCAAGTCAAACAGAAGGGCACATTGGTGACACTTTGGGAATCAAAGCCTAATGAAGAGATAACGGCGATCTTCCACTGCAATTGTGCTGACTATAGTCTTTCTGATCAGCACGATTCAGACATAAAGAGAGAGATTGTGGTTAAGATTGCATCCACCGATCTCAACTTAATGGTGGACACAGGTAATACCATCTGTCAATCAGTTATCACTGGAGAGGATTGGTCGATGGAAAATTGCGGCTTTTTCAGGAGTACATGTTTGGACAGCAACTACGCGTTGGTTCAAGTACTCGTATGTCTGAGATTAAATGAATATGAGTTACATATATTAGATATGACCAAATTGTTTCTTGCAAACACTCAAAGATTGACTTTCAGCAGAGATGTATTTTATCACCTTGATTGAGAGATGGGATTCCTAATACGCCCATTTCAGTGCGCATTTGCGAGCTCAACTGTTCCTGTAGAGTCAGTTATCTCGGAATCTCAGGAACTTTTCACAGTGTATGAAAGGACGTCTTCTGGTAAAAGGGAAAGTAATGAAGATAGGGAATTCTACTCAACCTCACCTAATTATCACCAGTCACAATGTAGATGTAGATAATTCGTTATTCCACAAACAATAGAAATTTACTTTCAAAGTGCTGAAGGTACCACAAGAAACACTATAAAACCTTAACTTTATGTACAAAAGCATCCCAAACATTCTCTTGTTCTCCCCTGGCTATCCACAAAGTTGGGAGTCACATAACTCAGGTAGGCAACGACTCAACTAATTTGTACATACTCTGTATTAATCTGATTCAACACTTTTCATTTTTAAGTTATATTTTTGTCTTTAATCTGTTTGACCTAATATTTATTAGTCACTTATTGCCTATTATGGTTTTTAATTTTAATGCATTTACAATTTATAGTTTCTTTACATGTTAATCTTTTCATTCATTAATTAACCGGAATCCTGTGAGATAAATTGTTACACAGCCTTAATCTCGAGATTAATTAGAGGGAAAGATAACTATCAATATGTAACTATTGTATTTAACGGGAGAGCCTATTTAGATTTTAACGAAAATACTATTTTGCTCCAATTCTCAATTCCACAATTAGTGTGAATAATTACAGTTATTTTTCCAACAAATGACACTAATTAAAAAGTGCTCTACGTTTGCCATGTTCAGTACACTGAATTTACGAAATATAAAAGCAAGTGACGCCAAATTTCTTTAAGTATACTCATAATAAGCATAAAATATTCTCTGTATTTGATTTTACTGGGGAAATGTTTAAATAGCAAAGCTGAACTTCACAGTTTTACCATGGGCAAATGTTCTGAATAGTTGTTAAGTACATTGGACTTATGTACAAGGTTCTACATTGATTTTGTCTGACAGTCGGTCAGAATTGGGTTATTTAGTCACTTAAGAATAATCCATTACTTGATTAGATTGCATATAGAGTTGTGTTAGTGGGTTCCGTTGACTAGGTTCTGAGTATTTATTCAACATTGTCAAAAGGATATTTGCTGTATTGTTGCACATTTTATGTTGTTTATTTCACTAACCAGATACTTTTGCTGACTCATCATGTTATTTCTTCGGTATGCTCTACTTCTTAATCTTCCTAGTGAATAATAATGTTTCCTAGGTCTTAAACGTTATGTAGTTAGTAGTATTATAACTCATTTTCTTTAGAAGTTTTAAGGGAGTAATTCTTTATCTAATTGTGTCGCAGTACTTAAATTGCTATTGTCTTCATATTATTCATTCATTCTCATATCTTATAATGTTTTCTTGACCTTTATCTCGTAAACAGGGTTTCTTTTATTCTGCTTGCCTGCTTTATTGTGGTATGTCACGCATGGTTGGGGTTTACTGTTATAGAAACCATATTGCTAACAATACTCACAATGAATATTGTTATTATAACATTCAGAAAAATGTTTGATTAAGCTTTTCAGTTACTGATACTATGCCGTGCTGTTCAAAAGTTCCAGTTCCTAAGTCATGCAATCTTGGTGTAATTTTCATTTTCAGCTAATTTTTGTGTCTGGGTCATATACGTGGTTATATTGTGTTATATATCTTAAACGAATTTATTGTTGAACATCTAATTACGGTTTTGGCGATTCCTATTGAAGTAATTAAAACTTTCAGTACTAAATTAGACCAGTACTGTATTCCACAATTTATATATATATATATATATATATATATATATATATATATATATATATATATATATATATATATATATATATATATGGAGACAGCTATTCAAAATCACATAATGTCTCTCCATCCACAGGACCTACTGTCTTACTTGATTCTGGGGATTATAAACTAAGATCTGTATGCCTAGTGAATATATGCTTACCCTTGCAAACAACTTTTATTACAGTTTGTTTTCTGTGTCGCTGTAACTCGGTTGGTGAAACCTAATCACTCTGTATGAGTAGTCAGATAAACTCTTTCAGTTAGACACTGGGACTTATTCACTTAAGTATGAGATTACTAATAATATAATTGATGAAAATGGTCTAGACATATTTTGATAAAATATCTGTAGTTTATTCAGATGTAAGAATCTGCCTATTTACAAACAAATTACATAGCCTGGATGATATGGAAGTTGGACATACATTCCGAATAATCTCAAGAAAATAATAAATACATAGGAACTAAAAAGTAAGGGTTGATCCTCAGTGGTAGACATCAAATGATTTTATACGAAAAACAGTTCTCCATAGTGTGATTTATAAGTACAGTTTTTATTCTATACAGTTCACCTATCATCCTACATGTTCTACCGTAGACAGACATAATCAACATAGAACCGTGCACACAAGTGCATCGATTCAAGTTGTCACAGTAGTATACAAAGAACAAGTGGATAAAAAGAGAGATATCAAAAAAGGTTAAGTTGTGTGGGGTAATGAACAATCTGAAGATGAAGGTTAGTGCCAGTATTCAAACTTTAGAAGACGTCGTCCAGTGAATACATCTGCGCCGTTGTGACCGATTTCCAGCCACATCACCAAGATTTTTCAACCACTGGTTCTTTTCGTCTCATGGACTGCAACCAAGTCAGTCTACATCTCCCTACACGGCTTAGACCAATAAGCAGGGACTTCATCGACTGGCGTCAGGTCTTGGTCAGGCCACTCTAAACCCTCTTTCAACCGTATCTAACTTCTCCTAGCATGCCACTTCGACGTAGGCGGTGGCTCAGGATGCGCAGTACGTATCCAAGCCACCTCAGTCGACTAAAGTTCATAACCTCATAAATCGACTTGTTTTTCTTGCCTAGTACTCTTCGCCTGACTTCAACATTGCTCTCACGGTGATTTCACCAAACGTGAGCAATGTTATGAAGGCACCTGTAACCGCTCCATGTCTTCTACTTTTAACGGCCATATCTCAGCCGTATGATAGGATAGAACGGACTGCAGCGTGGTCTACCCGTCCTTTGATAGGTAATTGGAGTCACAGATGCGGCAAGTTGGCAAATGTCAAACAGGCCTTCTGTATTCGAGCTGAGATTGCGTCAGGAACCAGCGCGCTCGGGCTAATGTAACTCCCCAAGTAAGTAAAATGGTCTACGTATTCAACCACATTGGAGGTGGCTACTCCACTGATTCCTTAAAATGTGTTATCATAACCGTACAGTCGATGGTTTTCTTCGTAATTCTTATTGACTACTTTTCTATCTTCAAGTGGATAAACGTCTCTGAAAGCAGACGACGTATTTAAACAGCTCCCCGATAATATCTTTTGAAACCACTCAGTCTGTTATATTGGTTTTCGCATGCTATATTGGTGTATATTCTTATTATTTGTATATTCCCGAACTTTGAGCTACCGCACTTAGCTTATCATCACGAAAAGTTCTATATTTGTCGTCTAACTTTACATTTGACCAGAACACATCCATATCTAGATGTTTGCCTCGAGTTGAACTTTGGCATTGTTTACAAACAGTTCAGTGTTTATCAAACGTTATGTATTTTTCACAAACTTTAGATTTGGGATCTAAAAGACAATGGCGAATGGGTGTGCACTGCTTCTTGGCGATGCCACCTAGGATCCGCATGGCGTGTCAGTTGGGCGCACCCTGAATTTGGCCAGGTCATCGCTACTTGTTCATTTGATCGTACAATAGCAGTATGGGAGGAAATTACAGGCACCCAGGTATGTAATTTTTGCATTAAAAAAATTATTGGCAATATGATGCATAATAACTTGGATATACTTATAATTGAATAGCTCTCCTTCACACTACTTTTATTTTGGATTACTTATAAAGAGAGTGTAGTTGCCGCTTAATATTGTCGCAGATTAACTGTTAGGTCTCAGCAGCTGGCTCACTACCACTCTGTTATTATCATATATTTAGGTTGTAACATCAGCATTTGCAGTAAATTAGATGTTCACCTCATTGCTTGTTTACACTCGTTAACTACTGCCATTGAAGGTTTTCTTCTTCATGTTTCTTATTCTCTCAGTCTGCGTAAGCACTGGGCTGTCGACAACTTTCCACTGAATATATTGCGTCAAATTACTCCTTTTCACATTGTTTTAATCATTCGATTATGCGCTTAAATTGTATTATGTATTCTCGTGCATTTTTAAGTGTGTTTTCAACCTATTGTTTAACAAGTTCACATTAAAATCACAAGAGAATGCCACAGTGGATGGTGATGAGCTCTGAAGCGCATGACAACACATTGTATAACTAACAGGAACTACTGATTTTCATAATGACTGAGTGACCCTCCACCTTCGAGCTTATGCTCATAATACCCTGATTATTTTCTTTTAAATATCGTACATTGAATAAGTTTAGTGAAATATCACTTGCTGTGATAATTCCATATTATATCAAGAATGTTGTTTGGAATAAAGTGAATACTATACATTTGATATAAAAGCTTGATTTATGTTTATTAGGTGTGATTAACAGTTCGCTTCAAAATTTACTAAATGGGTGGTAATCATTGGAAATACCAAATTGTTCACCGTTTTACTTTATTTATTTAGTCAACCAGTGGTGGTGGTGATAACGATGGAAGCACTAACCAAACTCTACTCACTTTAACAAATAGTATGTGTGGAGGCCAGTCAGCAAATACAAATTGGATCAGACGTGCTTATCTTGTTGATCCACGCACTTCCGTGACTGGCTTACAGTTTGCTCCTAGGCATTTAGGCCTTCAGTTAGCTGCGATTTCTACAGATGGCATGTTGCGCATCTATGAAGCTCTGGTAAGAATGTTTTCATTTTTTAACTATTTCTTACTTTTCATTGGATCTTGAGCTAGAAACACATGATGGCCACTTCAAATTCGTTAAGCTGACGTATTTTCATGGCTGATCCTCATCCACACTAGTTATATAAGGATTGTGAATGACTGTTATGACTACAGTTATCTATCTTTACAGAATTTCTCTATAATAATTATCAAACGATTTCTATTCATTCTGAAAAATATAGATGGAAAATCATATTTGGTTTTCGCAATGGAAATTAAAGCTTTTCCTCTAAACCACAGTACACTTTCTGAAAAATCCAGTATTGTATTGCTCTCTGCTCACAGGGATATAAATCGGTGCTGAACTTGTTTTCATTTAACTCCTTAGTATTTTTGATATGCGTTATTAAGAGCGAATGCTTACGCTTCCACATTTTGTTATTTAAATGTTGTTGTTCAAATCGTTTACTTATTTCAGCTATTTTACTGGAGTTTTTAATAATTTTTACTGCTTATCTTTCTCTTTCTGCGCATCAATCTTGCAGGATGTTATGAATTTGAGTCAGTGGCGTTTACAGTTTGATTTTGGAACTAGAATGGCAGGATCATGTTTGGCCTGGTCTCAGGTATGTGGTTTTGTTTGCGATAAATGCTTAAAAATATGGTTTTCAAATTAATTTCTGTCCAACATGATATTTGAAGCGAAAGAGAAAAAACTGTTCCGCAATTTGATCTGAACTACTGTTCTGCGGATTTTTCGACACAACTCAGTGACTTGACTGTACACTTTGTGGTAGTCTATAAATCAAGATTGGTGATGTGTACTTATTGATCATCGAATTCAAAGAAGAAATACTTGAACACTCATATGCCAATAGTGACCGGTTCAATCAACGACTGAGATTCAGAGACTGTATTATACCCGTCGTGCAAAGAGTGGCTTTCGTGATTCAGTAGTGGTCTATTGGATAACGCTCTGGCGTTTGAAGTGATTGGTCCTCGATTCAATTCTCAGTTGCAACAACATCACTCACTGAGAGGCAGGCCCACCAGCTGATGAGTCCCAAATAGGACGAAACGCGCATCCTGGATTCTACTCCTAGCCGCTATTCATCACTTATATAATATATATATATATATATATATATATATATATATATATATATATAATATAAAATACCACTAGTTTATTGAGGCATTCACACAAGAACCCATATACCAGTTGTAGTCGACCGATTCATTCCAATTAGCGACAGAAATTCACAAGCTACAACACCAACATTGGACACTCCTTTAAAACTCGGTTATATTTTGGGCTGAATAAACTTTCTAGGATCTCAGTCTGAATTATATAAGGTTGACTGAAAAACGTGTTATCAGATATACTGGTTATTAATACACTTAGTTATGTCTAAAATTGGAAGTTCATTCTATGCTAAGTAACCTAATAAGTAGTCTACTGTTTATATACTTTCCCATTGTGACGTGGATATCGAACTCTCCTGGTCAATTCGTTGTAGATTCGCATTCACTCTATTTATTTATTTCTTACTTATAGGAAACTCGCGTCACTTTTAACAACTATCACAGAAAAATAACTTGTAGTCTGTAACATAGATCTTTTCAGAACTTCCGATTTACTCTGTACCTAAATGTTACATACTGTTGCCATAACATGTTAATTGAAAGGCTTCATTGACATAAATCTATAAAAATTAATTTTTATATTTGTATGTAACATTGTTGTCTGCCTGTTTTTCACTTCACTTTCATAGTCTCGACTTGACCCACCATTAATAGCTGTTGGAAGCGCTAGTCCCAGTGATTCAGGATCAGGTGATAATTCGGATGGTTTACAAACAACTCACTCATTATCCTATTCAGCAGCATATTCACTGAATCCCTTAGTTAATAATAAACTTGTGCTTTATGAATACTCTGAAGCTAGAAGACATTGGTTTCTTGTCGAAGATGTGCATGCATTAAAGGATCCTGTTTACGATTTGTCATTTGCTCCACATATGGGTCAGTCGTATCACACACTGGCTGTTGGATCTAAAGAACTTTATGTATTACGAATTCGTCCATCTGGTTCCGATCAAAGTTCTAATTCAGTCGTGAAAAGTAAATCAGATATACATTTTTAGTAGTCTTTTGACAACTACTGTATTATTATTATTATTGTTATTATTATTACTATTGTGTTGTATGACCCCGTTTCAATTGTCTTTATGCAATTCATCAGTGTCACTGTTTACCGGTATCACCACCATTTTTCCAAACGCTTTGTATTAACCTAGCGTTTTTTAGTGCACTAGGCTTCATTGGTATCTTTTGACCAAATGAAGATACTAAGGTGTGCTAAATGTGAGGAATCCCTTATATTCTGTTGACTTATATGCAGTTGTCCATATTCTAAGGGAAATAGACCGCTAACGCCATCATTTGTGATAATGACTTTAGTGTTAGTAATAATAGTAAAGTAACTGCAAACCACTAGTATCTTACACTTATGCATGCAACAGATAGCTGTGCTTTCTGTTGTAAAGCTGGCTACATGAAGTGTAATAAGCTGAATAGGGTTTGATATTAGGACTTGTTAGTTAAGTTTTATCCCATTCTGCTAAGTCGATAGTAGAGCATCAGAAATGAACTAATAACCAATTAAATTTTATCTCTTTATATACTTTTTTTTGTTTGTCACAAATAAAGTAATACTAATTTGATAGACCTATTAATGACAGATATTCGCTCGGAAACGTGTTTTACAAGTGAATATTGTAAATTCCTAATTCTTAGAACCTTCTGCCAGTCAATAGTAAACTGTAGATCAGTCGTTCATGTTGAAGGCTATAACAACTTGGTCAGTATGACGATCAGGTTTAGAAACACTACTTACTAGGAAAATATTGACTGTTAACCAGTATTATGTACACAAACAGTGCTTTTTTGTTAGTAATTCTCACCTCTCAGGACTGAGGTATTTATAAGTGCGAGCTGTATTCAGTTAATTTGTACCAATAAAAGTGACGTTTTTCAGAATCGATGTCGGTGACGCAAATCTATGTATCCACAAATTTTTCTCATACTGAATTCAGTATTTCCTTATTCCTACTTCCTCTCTTTTACTGCTTTAGTCCGATTTTTCTCTATTTCTTTGTACTTTGCGGCTTCATGTGCTAATAATCGGTGTGACAACTCGGACTGTTATGCAATAAGGCCTGGTCCTGTGTTGATTCAAATGATGATGAATAAAAGTTAATCAGTTCATGTGGTGTACTTCCTGTAGAATTGAAGATGTTATTTGTACCATTTACATGTTACCTGTCAAATAAAACTTGGGATATTTGAGAGAGTAGTAGGCACTATCATATGAAAACAATTCAACAACTGTACATTGTCAATCATCAATAACTGATTCCTTCACGTATTAACCACTACCTTGAGAATTGATCTGTGTTAATGGATCTACCACATAGCTGAAATACTAAATATTTAAGTCAACTTTGCAGAAAGTAATACGTTAGTGCAGTTATTATTGTTAATGTCCTATGAATTGGTTAATGATACCTTAAATAAATACATCTTCAATGTTTTAAAGGCAACTGTTACCATACCGAAATTATCATCTTGTATTTTGATTACATTGGCACATCAGTCTACTACTCGTAATGTATAAGATATGGACTCGAATGCTGTCACACATTGTAGGCCAATGGTCATCGTGTTCCTTTATACTAAAACTGTCTTTAATTTGTTGAACAGGACTAGACTGTGAAATCGCCTGTCAGAGAGTTGGTGTTCCTGAAACATCTGTTGACATGTTGAGAAGCCTATTGTTTATGACTTGAGACAGTGAAGGGATACAACCATCTGTTCTCACTATTGGAAACTACTGATAGTTGGAGCTAGACAAGACTAACCGATTTCGCCATCGCTCTTTTCTATTGATTAGATTCTGGAGACAGTTTTGGAGGAGGTGTGTGTCGGTGGTGTAGATCAGCTGTTCGATCTTGAGTATGTGGTTGATGTTGTTTTCGTGTGTGACATCCTCCATGAGAATGAAATTGGACTTAGTGAAGTAGCGGTGAATGTGCGTAAGTATGGTGTATGCTTTGGAGTGTGTAAATGTGAAATGCTTTTTGAAGATGAACAGGAGTGTGTGAGTGTGCTGACTGTTGGTGGTGGATGGTTGGAAGTAGTCAGAAGATATTTGTGTGGGTGATGTAAGTGTAGGTGTAGGTGTGAGAGGTAGTATTTCCCAAAGGAATTGGTTGGTCAGACGAGTATATTGGAGTTTGTGTCACTTTTTGCGTCGTCATGACGTTAGGTTGTGTTTAGAGCTTCGATGCAGTTTTCCAGCTGTTTGCTTGAACGAGAGCGTCAAATAGATCTGATCTTTTTACCTCTATGCCCCTTCTTATAAAAAAATGACGACAAAATGTGTAGTGATTTCCCACTGATCAACTGTTAATAAATACATACATTCACTATTGTTTCATATAGGTGAAATCTGATTTATTTATCTATTCCAGTTCTTCGTGCGATCTTTGCGATGCAAATTCTGTCTTTTTCCTGGTTGAAGTGGTATATTTTGCACCAGACATGTTTCTGTTGCTCTTGTGTAATTCTGTACGTGGTATATAACATTGGTTGTCATATATTCATACTCCTATCTCCTTACTGTTTTTCCTACTGAACTGAATTAATTAGTCGATTAATGTGCGTAACGAGTTCCAGTCAGGACGGTATAACCTATCATAATACAGGTACATCAGTTTGGCAACTTTTAAAGGTTAAACGACACGCTTTTCTCTAATTTCACCTCTCGTCACTACCAATTGAACGGACTGTATAAGGTTCAGTCAGTTAAGCTTGTTTTCGAGAAAGGACTTAGGTTAACGGAACTAACTTTATATGATCTATTATTGCATGTTCAATATTTCTTTTTATATTCTCTTTATTGTAACAGATGACAGTTCAAGTTCAGCTACTGTAACACTGGCAAGATCTAACGTACCTGTTCATAGTCCCTATGAAATAAGAGTGATGGCTCGTTTTGATCATCATAAAGGAAGAGTTTGGCGTGTATCATGGAACGTAACCGGTAAGTTAGAGTCAATTTCTCTAGTTATTTTTTTGCGTAGATAGATAGCAATAACACCAATCCTATAAAGCATGTAGCTTTATAACGTTAATTATCAAACAGTAGAGTACTCATCAGATATCATGCTTCATAGACGGGAAATACCCAAGTAATGATCAACAAGTGAAAGCAAAACTAATACTAATAGTAGTTAAGGCCTAAAAGAGAAACTAAGGGTGGAGTGAAATTGCCCTGAATAACAAGTGACATAGAGTTTGATAACAGCAAGACGAAAAGTTGATACATCCACTCAGCTGTCGCTGGTTGCATACCATTTTGTCCAAGGTGTCTAACTACTGATTTTAACTATCTTGAGAGCCTCAGTGGTGTATTCCACTGTTTAAAATGCTTCTTAGGACACTCAATGAAGATTTTATTCATTTTAGGCACATTTTATTCTGACTGCTTTTAGGTTGAACGTTTCTAACATTTTTTACCAGTGCGTCGTAGTAAGCGGCGACTAGACATCTGTAGCGAATTTCACAGTTATTTTCTTGATGCAGGTGTGTAAAATTGTTAAGTGACCCATCTTCTGTACCTAGCATTGGTGATTATACTGGTCGCAAACTACCCTTCGGAGGTATTGACGAATAAACATGAGGTTATTAATACTACAATCTACCTCAACTATTCATACTTGGTCACGCGGTCCTTATTGGTCTGTTAATCCCATTGTATGATTATCGAAGCTCTCATTTGAATTATCCATCAATGAACTTGTTAAAGTAGGTTCTGTTATGTCTCTCATTATTCGTATAATACACATGTACCTAACTGACAACTAACTTGTGTACCAGATAATGCGTTTCTCGTAATGGTTCCGCGAAATTAATATGAATTCTAGCACAACTACTGTCAGTCGGTGACCACCTATTTAGCGCACAACCAATAGGTGATCTCAACGTGATGGTCAGGCTTGCGTATCACAATTACTCCACAAGTTATGCTGGTGGAACACCTGTTTTCTCAAGGTCCTACTATGTCTATTAGATAGTGGTAAGACGAAAACCGTCCTAGTGTAAATTGCTACGCTATGACGGGGGTTCGAGGTCGAGCTGGTGATTGGATGGGGTGTGACGACAGTAGGGTGTTCCTCACAGATGGACAGCAGTACCGTGATGGTACCGCCCTTTATATCGGAGGGGACAGGTTATAAAAGGTTGCCCCCAAAAAAGCACACTCCCTGCTTTATGATCTTCCGTTGCCGAGGGTATGGGTTTTTCCTATCCAGCAAAACTCACACTAACAATCTTCAAAGGGCTGTATGTGATAAACTACAAGCAGATGTTCCATGGTGAGGGACAGTCGGGAAATGTCACCCATCCGCACACAATCCGTATGTGAAATCCAATCAAACGTAGCATATCCTCCACATCTGTCTCCCGTCTTGCCTTCACCTCCTGATACCAATGTTAATCCTCTTAAAACTTCCTCAGTTTCTCACTCTGTAACTATCGCCAATGATCCAAGACATCGAAACTCCTTGCTGTCGGTTTAACACTGGATCATTAAACGTCCGAACCGTATGCCAAATTGAACAACAGCCAACTCTTCTCGGAACCATGGAATCTCTGGCCTTGGATGTATGCAGTGTCTCTGAGACGTATAAAGAATTCGAGTGTGGTTATTAAATTGACCTCACCTAGCCATTACAGTGAATCTTCGAAATTCGCTTTATGGGTATCCGGAAATTCAGTGCCTAGCTCTCGTTGACTTGCTGGTGTACAGGGATAGTATTCGCTTTTGAAGAGCAGAAAGTGCACTTCTCGATTAGATACCAATCAACAGACATCTGTATGCTGTTTAAATGAATGGTTCTGTAGGATTTAGGAGGCATCATGACGTTGACCGATGCGTATTCGTCATCTCTGCCTACGCACCCACCAACTGCATTTCGGATAATGCAAAGGTTAAATGGTGTCAAATAGTCAATTTCGCTATATAGAGCAGACATTCAGACGTAGTCATAATAGCAGGCGACTTTAATGCTCAAGTAGGGAAGCTGAACTAGTTGCGAAGGGATCCTGGAGATATCTAAATCCCATGCTAGCGAACAGATAACGGTAATCGTCTGTTGTAATTTTGTTCCGCTAATGACTTGTTTCTGACAATTATAAGGAGAGACACCGTCTCACATGGCGTCTGTCGAAATCAAACCAGCGATAAACACGGGCAGAACATATTGCTATAATAAGCCATTGGTGGAGGATTGCCGCTCTTTCTGCATTACCAGTTTGAACTCTGATCACGTGCTATTATGTGCTCGTGTATATCTTGGCCTCACCGGTTGCAGAAAACAAGCATCAGTTGAGCCTTTTTGTGCTTGATTGAAAAAATAAAAACGTCAAGTGTATTTAGGGGTGAAGTGGGTAAGCATTTATCTGAGCTTTAAAGCAATCCTCATCCTGTTGAAGTCTGAAGTGATATTCAGTCTGCTATAGAAACAACGGTGAAGATATTTGGTAACCTACTTCCAGAGGTTAGCAATAGCTAGTGGATTTCCTCAACGTCATCCTAACGGATTGATGTGATTAGGTGCATTCCAGTTGGTTTTGACCTCAGTAGGAATGAAAGCAACTTAATCGTAAAGTCTTCGCAATGATCACGCATAGCGGTAGGTGGTGAAACTAAGAGAGATGGCGACGACATCAACATAAGTTAATGAATACTTGGCAATTATTTGGGCTTATAGGCATACTGACAATAGAAGTCGAGAGTCAGTGAGACTATCACCAAAAAGCATGAGATCCTGATTATCTCTTGTGACAGCCGGCTAGAACTTTGCGCCGAACTTTTTGAAGTACACTTCAATTTTCTGACCCGAACCTGAGTAGGAAGTGGATACGCAGCAACCGACAAACTCAGCTGTATCGCAATGCGTATTGGGCCATTAAGTATAACTTCTGTCAATTGTTGTCATATGCTCTTCCCCTGGATGATCGGTGTGAAACTTCCTTAAAATTTATGGGCAGCGAGATTTAGGAAATGGTGTGCTTTCTCCAGATTTGAGTCGATTGTCGACTACATAATGAGATTCTCTTCTACAAAACAGTTGTTTCAGATCACCGATAAAGGTCTCTGCAGTCATTTCACCTGAACATAATACATGACTTTATGTATGATGTAATTATTTTAGGTTTTTTTCATATGAACCGTTGTGATAGGAAGCGCACAAGCTGCACAACTTAATAAGCAGACTGCATAATCTTCTATGTAAACTAATGAGATAACTATTTCTTCAGTGGGCGTTGCATATTCACTTTTATGTCTTGGAATTGTGTCCGTAGGTCCAAAGTCTTCTGTTTGGAGATATTTGATACCGCTGACAGGTCATCACCTTCGCAAACGTTTTGCTCACCGACTTCCGCTACAAGATTTATGCGCACCTTCAACCGCTTAATTAATTATTTTTACTCAACTCAAACTAACGAAATCCAGTATATGTGATCTTTTCTGCCGTGCTATCTTGTACTGTTCCTTTTACGTACTACGTGATTTAAATGATTCCACGCTATTTTATCACTATAAATCAGGCAAGTTTCTGTCAAACACGGAGATTATGCAGCAAAGCATGTAGTCATACTAAAGGCTATCATCAGTTCGATAACTGGTTGTCGTTTGCATGGTAATCGGTTGGATTTTAGCACGAAATCCGTACTTAAGTACTATTCAGTACTCAACATCTGTAAACCGTTTATCGGATATGAGTTTATTGTCATTTGTCTGTTAGGTGTGGGTTCACTTCATTCCCGCTTATTTCATACAAATTATTTTATTTTGCGGATTATATTAATTTGGAGCTAACTTTCATCACAAACTGGCACGATTAACAAATAATGGATGCTGTACACATACTAGACTGAAATTTATCATTAATGTTTCCTGTAACTTCTTACATTGATCAAACGGTTGTCATACCTAACCATTGTGGACATTTTATTTTCATCTATACTATCCAGTTTTTCTTTTTTAAACAGATCGCTGTTTAGCACACATGAAAACATGTTTGGCAACGTATCTGTCCTGCTTGTAACCTCACATCTAACTTGTACATTATGTACCTCGTTTCAAAACTAAATGTACACATTCTTTCGAAAACAATAGTTGTTAAACCGAAGTACCTCATGTCTTTTGTTGCTGCTAATAGCCATTTCTCAACCTTAGAGCGGTGAAACATTTGCACTTTACATATCCACTCATTAACCTATGTAAATCCTTTGATTTATACACACAAGAAGGAAGGATTAAAGTTTATCTCTGCGTTATGTATTCACATAGAAATTTTATCGAAGGATAGTCTTTATCATATTGATGAATCAATCATAACGACTAGCCGTCCCATTTCATGTGTTCAAAATGAGAATGAAGGCAGACGACTCCACCAACGTTGTTTTACTCTATCGAAATGTATAGTGTAAGAAATAAGGTTTAGTTTTAAACTATTCACAGACTTGCATTTTGTTTAATCTCATAACAAGTAAAAGTGTTATTACAAATCTTAAATAGTACCTCTGAGTAAATGTATCACAAGACAGTAACTGGCTTTCCTATCATAGTTCTGTTTTAAACATTACTACAGAGAACATCTGGATTATTGTGCTAAAACATACAGTTGATGTCGAAACGTTTAATGATACGATAAGCTCCTGTTAAGTTGGTCTAAAAGATTGGAAAAGCTTAAACATGTGGATAATTCGTGGCACCGAGTTGTACATTTATTGTTTTAGCCAGGTGAGTTCACCTAAACAAATTTCCCCAGCACATTGTGCAACATGGTATTACAGAGTTTTCGTTTTCCCAAACAATAAGATTCAATGTAAATCATCTATTTAATTTGCTTTTGTAATTTGTTGCAATACCAGTTGACGCATAATTTGTTACTATTCGGTGTCTAATTGGCACTTTGCCGTTGCATCACAAACGTTTTGTTAGATTAAGTCGTTCTCTTTTGCTGAGAATATGTCTATTAATTTTATTTGCTTAAATAGCGAATACCTCATTTCGTCTTATAAATTATTTTGTAATAAATGATAATTCTGAACATTTTGTAATTTTTTATCTGCCCTAAACTTGTATGCTTTTTACGATTAAAATTTTGTATTCAGGTTCTTTACTAGCATCATCTGGAGATGATGGTTGTGTACGACTTTGGCAAGCTAACTACTTGGGTGTTTGGCTTCCAGTTTGTGTTATCAGTCCAGATGGCAGCAGTTGCACTGCAACATCTAATGAACAGAATGATTTATTAGATTGTGCACTCAAGTCATGTTTAGGTTCCATGTTACCACAATCAGTCTCATCATCTGGATTACCTATTCGTTTACCAAATTTAAATGTCCCGGTGAAGCCTAATGAACATGGTGAACAAACAATCAACTCTTATTTATGTAAGACAATGTCCTTTATAAAAATGATTTTGTATCACAGATTGCTTGAGGATATAAGTCTAAATGAATAGTTGAATATGTAGAGAGTATTGCACACATGTTTCATATCGTATTGTAAGACTCATTCAGTAGTGCACACTTATTTACAATTCTAGTGGTTTGACCAACGTCCACATAGAATGAAAACTGAGTTTTGAGCGCTATACACTTTCTGCAATAAAAGCTATAAGTTTGTTCTATGACACACAAGTTGGTCGGGAACGTAGAGTAATATAAGACTGATCATGAATATATTTGTGTATCAAAAGTATGATTTTACTGTGTTAATGTTCTCTGACCTTAATACTTTAGTTTTAGAGTTTTTATTATCATTCTTGAAAAGTTGATGAAAATGGACATTAAAAAAAGTGAACAGTTTAAACTTCTACGAAATTGGTCGATTGACTTGTCCTAATCATCTCTGATGTAATTTTAAGAGTTTGAAGAGCAATTCAGTGAAAGTTATTAATTCGATAAAGGAAATAATCCCATATCCTAAGTTAATGTGTTAATGCGACATGCATTTATGTGATATTCAACAGAAGATATATAAGGTTGACTTTGTACTTTTTCCATATAGCCTTATGATATGGGTAGTGAATCTTACATCGAGAGTATTTACTTACTGATTGTTTCAATAATCACGGTTTGGGCTTTTCAGAACTGTAGTGTACTACATTTCCTGCATAGAAATTAACTGTCTTATTTATTAATTTCTTGACAGCACAATCATCACTAAAAGGATAATGTTTTCAAATAGCTTTTCAACCTATTTTGAAACAATTAAAATTTCTAAGGTTATGGTGCCTTTGACACTTACAAAATTTCAGATGGTACTGATTCACATTAGCCTTCAAGATAAGAATTCTTATCATAGTATTTAATTATACTTTTCTAAATAAGACTGCTTTTCACGTTTGATGTGTATGCACAACTTTCGATATGAGAACATTCCATGATTTGTGTAAAGTTTGTTTACTAGAATCCTTTTTTAATGCACTAGCTTACTTATAGTCTTTCAGTAGTATGTTTAACTAGATAGTATAAACCACTCTGACACTGGGAGTGAGGTGCTTTTCGCTACTGTTTTTGGCCTCGTCATTATCCAGTAAAGGTGATGTTTTATACTACGCTGGTTTACCACCAGTATCGCACTGTAAAAATGAATTTTTTTGGATTTATCACAAGTATAAGCGAGATGTAATGATAAAGGAAGTAATCATAATATGGTTCATCTAAGCGAAGTGATTAGTTCCAAGAAGTAAAGTGGATGAAGAGTTTCTTTATCAATAAACTAATGGTACTATTTTCCTAAATGATTTACAGTACTAGATATGTACCCTGAAATCTACGTAATTAATCTACCGTTGTCACATTTCAGGAAAATTTCACAATTTGATGTAATTGTGTGAATATATATGAAGGCAATTAAATTTTACAACTATGTATCTATCTTGTTTCCTGAATAAGAATTGCAATCTATACAATATATATAAATAATTATTATTTATCCCTTGGGTTCCTAATGGAACATAGGGCTTCAGTAGCACGTCTCCAGTACACTGTTCTCTATAATTTTTTGAACCTGGCTCCACGACAGCCCACAAGCTCTCGTTTTTTCCTCGTACTATCTCTTCCATGTCACCCTCGCCTCGGACGCCCAACTCGTCGTACGCCTACGTAACTAGTATTACTGCTTTCTGTAATACATCCAAGTAATAAGTTGATATTGGCTGTTGTGTTGTCCAGTAATATGTGGGTTTTTATCTGATCACCACGTTTTCTTGATGTGTATACAAATGCATTTGAAATAAATTAAATGATATGAATTACTGTAAATAGTGTTTATCATCCTCTTCATCCTATTTTGTGTAGCTATAGCTTATACGTTTAGGCAGTTGACTTTCATCTGAAGGCTGTGTGTCTATACACCCACCCTTCAGCCCACCAAGGTTTTGGTGTAGTTCATTGCTTACTGCACGAACGTTCACAAGGTTGTTAAGTTACGACTATTTTCTTTGATACCCAGGTTCAAAAATTAGATGAAGAGATAGCAGCACTACTTACTTGCTCATTGTGACGAAGTGATTTGACCGAATTAATTAGGTGTTAAGGCTATAATATCTGGTAGGCATTATTTCCTAAGTCTACAATTTGTAGTTTTCGTCTTCTATTGTGAAAATAACCCACAATGATAGCTTTTTTTCTGTCGTCTTTCAGCCAAAGGATCATCACTTCACGCATGTACAACCTCATTTCAAAAGGTGTCATCACTTTCACATGCAAATCAACCTGCTGCATGGCATTGAAATTAAGCATATTATACCAATCTTCTTACTTATAAGCCTGCATCTTACATCACATGTATGTATATTGTGTACGTACTCTGTGTAGATCAATATTTTTGAAGGGCAATTTTTGTGCTCATGTGTATATTTTTCACTCATGTATCTTTTATGCTATAGTTTACCACAACAAAAGATTTTTTGAACAAAACTGATGAGTAATAAGTGCAAATTACTTTTTTATTGATGATACTGAATCAAATATAATTATGAACTTTTGATCAAATATGCTGCTATATTCTGCCTATTTGTAGTTAATAAGTTTACTCGACTTTTGCATGCTTGTTTTCTGCGTTATTTTCTTCGTTGTCCTAAACTCTGTGACGGCAATATGTTGTTCTTGTTTAGTGGAAAATAGTGCATAGAAGCACTTAGTTATATTTACTGACCGATAACTGTCTTCTTGACTTGCTTCTCGAGCTTGCGTATCGCAATGACTCAACGACCTATACTGGTGAAGAAAACTGCTCCTCGCACACCTATGATTCCGCAAACGTCCGCTGGATAGCAGTGAGTAAGATAAACAGTTACCGTTAAAAAGTACGGTACTGAGCTATGATGTGGTTCCAAGAGCACTACTCAGTGGACGAAAGTGTGAGAGCAGTACTGTGTTACCCTTGGATAATCATTAGTTCCTTTTAAGGCTGTCTTATATATGATTAAGTGCTTAGAAAACTCAGACCTCAAATAAAACACTCCTTCCCACTCTGAGATATACAGGTACCGATTGTCCAGGTTTATAGTTAGATTCGAAATAAAATCCACCGAACCCTCAAACTACTAAAAAAGCCTTATGCAACCGGTCTCACGCTGATATCTCTGCTTTTTGTGGTCACACACTATCACTTTTATCAGGCAAATCGAGGAGTAGCCATTCACGACGTGGATAGTCAAGAAGTGTCATCCGTCTTCACGACACTATCGAGACAGAAATCTCTACTTTCCAAACATCTTCCAGTCAATATCCCTACATCTTACTTAATGTCTTACAACTCTGCAGCTAATCTATAACTCCTGAAACTACGGCGCAAACTGTACGTCAGAAATTTCAATATCCTCACCCTCAATCGAATCGGCCGACAAGCTTCACTAGCAAAATTCTCGATATGGAAGTGTACTGTGTTAGTGAAACACGCATGCAAAACCCAAGTGACTTTATTTCTCCAAATTCACCTAGCCAATAAGGGAAAATGTACCCCGTGAGTTCCTGCCGATTCGATGGCCAGCTCTCGTGGTGCTGCAGGTGTAGACATGTTAATAAGTGCTAAGACATGAGATACACCGCTCAATTGGATCCTAGTTGACAGTCACTTGTGTTATGCTTGACTGATGTCATTCAGGAATTGTGAGTATCCCTGTTTTCTCTTTGTATTCTCTACTTACTAACCGACTGAGTGTTGTTCAGATGGAGTTCTACCGAAAGCCAAACACTCAGATGTGGTTGTCGTGGCGAGTGATTTACATGTACAAGTGACTAAGCTAAGTCAAACACAAGGGCATATAGATGGCACTTTCAGAATCGCAGCTGACCGAATAGATAACTGCGATCAACTACTACAATTGTGCTCAGACAACCATCTACTGCTAACCAACACACACTTCAGACATGAAGAGACATTGTCTAATATGGCGTCCACCAGTCTCAGCTCATCGGTGGACACAGATAGACCATATTGCAATCAGTCATCGCTGGAGAGGGTTGGTCGGTGGAAGACGGCCAGTCCTTCTAGAGTAAGTATTTGGAGAACGACTATGTGTACGTTTCTACATGAATGGGTGTGAGAAAACTACATCGACAAGACCATTGAGAGTGCCACTTAATGATGAGAGAATACTGAGGTAGCTTTCAGCGATGAACTGGCTAGACAGTTATCGGAACAGAACATCACTCTACCAGAAACAGTTTGACACCATCTTCGGTTTACTGCAATAACAGTCCTTTAGAATGTATCTGATTCTCAGAAAGTGGTTATAAAGAGCCAGTGTATATCAGCTTCTTCTGGATTAGTGGGTGCGAGAGAACACATTCCTACAGGCTGCGAACCCAGTGAGGACGGAAGCAACTGAAAAGCAGACTGGTAAGAACTCTACACAGTGACCGCAAACAGTGGTAGATAGTGAAGACTAAAGAGATGGAAAAGCAGTGGAAAATTGTTAATGGTTAGTGGGACTATAATGAATGACAATGTGCCTGACATCCACTAGCAGAAACAAGGAGCAGTTTAACTGGTTTTCAGCTGCTATCCCATTGCTGGTTATCAAGTTGCATTCTGAATGGAACATTGAGGTAGGGTCTCCAACACATACGGAAGCCGAGAAATCTGTAATCCATCGGAAGGATAGCAGGACGAGTGGGACTCTTTAAAGACAGTGATTGAGGATTATTGGCCAAGTTAATTAAAATTTTACGTAGCTTATGTGTATCAGTCATAATCCCTCGTGATTCACTTCACCCACTGTTTGTCCTAATTTTCAGGAAACGGGACAGATTCTCTCCTAATAACCAGAGTGGTTCATTTTGATTAAAATATTGTCTGAGATTGTTGGTTCTAAAATCACACGTCTCAGTGGAGCTCAGGATCAGAAAACCCGGGGAAACAAGACAGATTTTAAACCTGGTCGTGGGTGTGTCCACTAGATATCTATCCTCTGTCAGGTTTGGAACAATAACACCTGATACTAGTTGTGTTTCTCGACATGAAGGCTGCATTCGACACTGTCGACCGACAGGTATTATCAGTGTCTCTGACCGAAACAGGTACTGAGTAAGTTCATTATCCTGTTGAGTGTACTCTATCCAAACACTCGTGGTCGTGTTAGAGCCTATGGTAAGTTGTTTACATGGAGTGGTGCCTATCAAGGATACCTACTCTCCATTCTTACGTAGTTTTATCACAGACATACTTATGGAGGTTTTCCTCTCGTCGTCTGACTTTAAAGGGATTTATCTTGTCGCTGGAGACTCCTTAGTTGGTTGATCTAGGGTATGCAGATGACATACTCCTGTTAGGTGAAGACATGGGTATGATACATAGCCTTCTGGATACCTTTAGCTTTAGTTTTGGATGCCTACCTCGCCACCCTCAAAGAAGTGAGACCTAAGCATTTGTAAGAACTGGCGAGGAATCATGCTGCTGTCCACCCCAGGCAAAATTACAAACCACATCATCCTGGAGATATTAAAAAGTGCTCTGCATTCAAAATTATGACAGGAACAGGCTGGCTTCAGGAAGAACAAATTATGTGCGGATCAAATTGCAACGTTATGCTACACTACTCATCATCATAGAACAGAGCATAGAATGGCAGTCAACTCTTCACCTTACCTCAACCTCATCGATTTTGAAAAGGCCTTCGACAGCGTCGATCCAGAAGTCATCTGGCAGGCAGCTGTTTCAACACCACGGCTTAAGTACCACAAACCTTTATCAACCTCATTGAACACCAGCTATATGCTATATGATGAGGATGATACATGCTGAGTGATTCACAATGGAAAGCTGAGTGATGCCTTTGAATTGAAGACAGGTGACAGGAGTAAGACAAGGTTGCCGTCTACTATCACCGATCATCTTCCTGATTGTGGTCGATTGAACTGGACTGGACTGGTATGGATCATGCAACAGACAAGTGTGAGAAGAGAGAAGATGGGCATACGGTGACTGGACCGATGAGAAGACCCCAGGGGGAGATTTGGATTTCGCCGCCGATGATGATTTGTGTCTAATGTCTTGTCACACAAACTCTAATATCTTCAGATGAAAACTAACGAGTTGACAGAAGAAGCAGAGAAGGAAGACGGGACTCAAAGTGAATGTAGAGAAGATGGAGGTGATGAAGATACCCAATGAACAGCAAGCACCATAAACGGGAGAAATGTAAACGGAAGTAGTCTCTTACACCTACCTAGGCAGGACAGCATCGTGTCAACTACAGGTGACGGCACAGACGAGGATGTTAAAGCCAGGATCGGAAAAGCAAGACAGGCTTTCACTAATCTGAAATCACTATGGAGATCTACTGCACTCAGCAGGTGGAACAAGATCCGGGTTTTCAACGCCAGTGTCAAGCCAGTGCGGCTACATGGTTCAGAAACTTGGCGCGTTATGAAAAGCACTTCCAGCAAACTACAGACATTCATCAATAGCTGCCTACGCCGGCTCGATACTGAAGATCAGATGGCCAGAATGAATAAGCAACAAGGAACTCACTCCGGCTGGCAATGAACCAACCAAGAACCCATCGCCCAACGAATATACAGAAGGAAGTGGAGATGGATTGGATTGGGCACACACTGAGATGGCCGATTGGGGAGATCACGCACCAGATCAGGCCGTCGAGTGGAATCCAAATGGGAAACGACGATTTGGGCCTCCGAGGATGACATGGATATCATGTGAGGAAGAAATAAAAGCTTGTGGGCAGTCGCGGAGAGAGGTTCAAAAGACTATCAAGAAGAGAGTGCAATGTAGGTGTGCTACTGAAGTCGTATGTTCCACTAGGATCCCAAGGGAAAAATAAATAATAATCTCACTGCCTAAGTGAAAACTGCTGTCCCAGGCTCAGTCTTCTCTAGCGTATTGTTTGGCACTAGGGAGTGAATTAGTTGAATGCCCTAACCACTCAGAAATTCAGATCAACCCTGGTGGATCAGTAACCGATGAAATATCTCCATGGCAGAAAGGGCTCTCTTTACTTTCGCAAACTGATGTTATTTATGGTGCCACTAAGATATTCAGTTGCCAATTGATGGTCCAGTGCACTGTGCAGCCATCCGCTCCACTGTACTACATGACTAAAACATTGCCATTAAAGATGGAGGACATGAAAAGGAATCTGGTCTTCTGCCACCGGTACCCTCATAGCATAGATCGTGTGACGTGGTGTCATCACTTCAGTGACGCAGAAGTTAGGTGTAGAGTTTTCGGCAGAGATAAGGTAGTCGATGAGATTGTGATTCTTCA